CGCAGTGCATTCAGGTCCAGCATTCTTTAATCAGGTAACGAGCCACCTCAACACTTTCCATCTGGAAAAGTAATTTGCATACTTGGATGCCCCGATAAAACAGTGGACAAGCCCAAACCTGGGGTTCATTTACTGTGATAATTCATGCAGCATTTACAGCTGTGACAAGGGTTATATTTAATTGCCTCTTGCTTTTGTAGATTTTGAGATTTTTTAGAATGGTCATGGCAAAGGGTCTCACGTCCACACCCCAGACAAGAGGGACACCCAAGGTGGGGTCAGTCATGTCCAGCACCTCTCCCTCCCCCCGGTCTTGCTCTCTCTCTCTCAAATACCAAATGATGACACCACAGGAGGCCTTTTCTCGTGGTCTACATCAGATTTTTAGCCCTTTTCACCATCATCTAGCTCCAAGGATTTTTTTTTTAAAAAAAGGCAGCTCGAGGAGCTGCAATTCCATGCTAAGAAAGCAGTTTTCAGGTTATTCTTCATTGCACTGGGCAGAAGGCAGCTCCTCCAAAGCGCTGCGCAGATTTGATTCGCCTTTCCCACAGCGAGGGGGGCACAGGATGATCTCCAGCCTGCACAGGTGCTCTGGCTCAACGCTTGGCTTTGCTCACAGGGGTCAGAAAACGCTGCTGAGCCTTCCTGGGAGATAAATATCTGGAAGCTCCAGCAGGTCTGTGTGTGTGCACTGCTCACCTTTGCTCTCCCCATCACCTTTCCCAGCCCCTCCTCCTTTAGCGCTTCCCAAAGCGGAGCAGGGCCATGGAGCCACAGAAGCGCATCAAGCGGCCCCTGTAAAATCTGTGTAAAATCTCTGCCAAATGTCCCCAGGGGAAGGAGCAGAGCAGGGTGAAGCAGGCTCGGTGCAGTCACCACTAGATGGTGGAACAGCACCACAAGTCCGAATATGAAACGTGACTATGGAACTGGACTGTGAGCCCAGCCTGGAAAATCCCTTGGTCTGCTGAGATGCGCTCCAGAAGGGCCAGATGGAATAAAACCCACTCAGCTCAGTCCCCATCACAGTGTGGATGTGACCAAAGATGCTGCAGTGCTGCTGTCTGTGCCCTGGCTGTGGTGGGGCAATGCTGCAGGAGAGAAGCACAGACAGCACCTGCAGTCTGAAATAGAGCCATGATCAATCCCACCCCCCAAACCACTGAAAATAGCTCAAGAATAAGCTGTTTTCTGGGGTTGTTATTTCTTAGGGCATCTAAACACATCCCAGCTCCTCCAGAAGAAAGTTTAGAGGCCAGTAACATTACAGGAGGTTCCACTGATGATTATAATTTGGTTTTTTTTCAAATCTTTAATTAAAGAAACACAACAGCTATGGAAAGACAAACCTGTTGTAGATGACCCAGGCTGCTGGGGATTTCATGTGACCCCAAGCAGAAGGTTTTCAAGTGATGGCAGTGCTGCCCTCACTGAGACCTGCAACAATTCACAATTCACAGCTCTCCAGCCTCTTTGTGTGGTGTGTCCAATCCACACCAGAGTTCAGGCACGCTGGTACATGTCTAATCTAAAATGATGATGAAAAATGCATCCATGCAAAGATACAATTTAATCATAAGCAGATCAGTAATAACAGAAATAAAAATGTTTATATTATTTTAAATAAATAGCCTGGGCTGGATTCCCAGGGGAGGTTGCCAGCGAGTTGTCACCATGGTTTGGACTTCTGAGACTTAAAAGAATTTTAAGAAAGGTCTAAGAGAACTCTCTCTCTCTTCTGGCAGTGAGCAACCCCTGCCAATGAAGCCATGACCATGTCACGGCCTAGAAACTGCCAGCAAAGGCTCACAGAGGTCATTTTCCAATTTAATTAAACAAAGTACCTAAATCCCTCTGAGCTTTTGCAAAGGCTCTCACAGGACTCTTCCACCCATGTTTGTGGCTGGATGGAGAGCTCAGGTCCTGCAAACAAGCCTTGTGCCCTGTGGTGATGAGCTACAGCCACCCAGCCCTCACAGCAAATGATTCCTCACCTGCAAAAGGCAAGAAATAGCCAGGAACACCCAGAAAATCTGTGTGCATCAGTGACACTGTTGGCACACACAGCCACCACCGGTTGCTGTGTGAGCTGCAGTCGAGGTGCTCAGCTGTGAGTGCAACAATTCCAACCCAGTTCTGTCTAGCTAATACAAAACCAGCTCATTAATATTTCATGGAAAGATCTTCATTGGTACTGTAGTGGCTGCTTGCTGTAATGCACAGGAGGTTAATGGGATGGGGGATGTAATTAGAGAACACAAATCATCTGGAATCTGTCACAAATCAGGTCAAAACATTTTCCTTACCTAAAATTTTAACGATAAGCATGGAAATGCTGAATCACAGATTGGTTTGGAATGGAAGGGACCTTAGAGGTCATCTTGTTCTACCCCCCTGCCATGGGCAGGGACACCTTCCACTAAACCAGATTGCTCCAAGCCCCATCCAACCTGGCCTTGAACACTCCCAGGAACCCACAACCTCTCCGGGCAACCTGTGCCTCAGCATGCTCACAATAATTTCTTTGTGATCTAAATCTCTCCTCTTAACTTAAAACTATTTCCCCTTGTCCCATTCAATATCTGCCCTGTAAAAGGTCACTCTCCCACATGCAAGAGAGGAGCAGCTCTTCCAGGCTGTTGATGCACCTTCAAGGAGGACCTGCACTGAGGTGTGGAGATGCTCAGTGCCATGTCAACCCTGTTTCCCAGCCCTGCCAAGAGCCAATGAGCTTCAAAAATGCCCAGAGGAGCATCACCTGTTATACTTATCCAACTCTCCTAAACTGTGTGGATCTCCCAAAAACTGGAAACATTCCAAAAGAACCAAAACAAACATAAAACCAAACCAAAAAATAACTGCCAGCATTGAGTGTCTCAGACACTCAACCAAGCCCTGAAGAACTAACAACTGGTGGTTGCCTTTGCAGTTCAGGCACTGCTGCTGTTGCTGTTTTCTTTTGCCATTAATCCCATTTGGTGACAGTTTTCATGCACCCAGGAATGCTGATTCACTGCACCCTTGGGGAGAATAAATACAGGAAACTGGGGTGATTTATCCAGAACCATCCTCACAAGTGCTTGGGAGAAACCTAAGGCATTCTTGCAACATGAATTCAAAGTTGTATCTTCTTTTCTTTTAAATTAAGATTTTTCAAGGATGTGGCTGATGAAAGAAGAAACCAAATGGCTGCTTGAGGTGAAAAAAAAAGAGTTGTAATATATTTGTCCCTCCCATCTGGCATGTTCTATTCACTCCATTACACCTCTTACAAGGAGGCAACTCCAGCAGGGAGGAGGGACTTGCCAGGGCAGAGGAACCATCTTGAAGACTCTTTATAAAGAGAATGTATCCATGCACATCTGCACATCTGGAGTTTGCTTCCAGATCAGTGATCTTCCTCACAAAATGTTTTTCCCAAACTCCATGCTGCAGCTGCTTAGCATAGCTGGTGTCTGAGGGTTTTTTTCCTTTTGAGGGTAATCATGTTTCCTGCAAGCAAAAAGGAAAAATTGAAGCTCTGAGTTACTACAGCATAATCCCAGCTGATCATTGCTGTTAGTGAATTTAATGCATGAAGGTTGTGGGTCATTTCAGCTAAATTCAGCTATTTGGCACCAGAAGTCCAGACAAACAGCTTAAGCTTACATACCTGTTATACTGAAATGCTAAGCAATGGCTATTTCCAGAAAAAAAAAATTATCTGCTTGGAACCATATCCTGAAGGGATGCACAAGTCTGTTGAGATGCTTATTTCTTTTTACTGGAGATAAAGAAAAAAACCTGAATGATGAGTGTGGGCCCGGGTGACTAAATCAGCTGTTACAGCCAATTCCAGCCTGAATGCTGGTAACACAGAATATTTGCATTAAAACTAAAGCAATGATTTTTTATCTAGGATTTTTGCTTTTCTCTTCATCCCTCCAGCAGGTCAGGACAGGCATTGTGGGGAGCAGCAAGGTTCAGAAATGCAGTCATACTCCCTGGCCTGGGCACACAGGGATGTTGTGTGGGATGGCTATTCCCCAGGAAAGAGCAGCAGCTGTTGGGGCTGCCTCTGAGGACAGCGTTGGGAAATAAATACAGAAGGAAGATTCTGCTGCAACACAACAATTCATCTCCCCACGCAACGTGATGCTGCAAGAGAGGCTATGAGAGGGACACTGGGGTTACTCCAGAATTGCAATCAGTTTGCAGCATGTTAATAAGCCAGCAAACAAAGGCAAACCCCTGCTGTTCAGGGACCCAGAAGGTCAGATGTTGCCAGTCCTGGCAAACCAGTTTGCTGTAATGCCCTTGTGTGGTCTCAGAGCAACACGAACAGGGATGATGCTGGGAGCAGTGGCAGAGTTGGTGGAGCAGAGTCCTGGGAGGTGCCGTGTCAGGGCTGGCTGCTGCTGTGCCTCCACAGCACCACAGATACACAGCTCAGCCTAGGGATGTGCAGCTCAATCCAGGGATGTTCAGCTCGGCCCAGGGATGGGTGGCTCAGCCCAGGGATGGGTGGCTCAGCCCAGGGATGTTCAGCTTGGCCCAGAGATGTTCAGCTCGGCCCAGGGATGTAAAGCTAAGCCCAGGGATGTAGAGCTCAATCCAGGGATGTGCAGTTTGGCCCAGGGATGCTCGGCTCAGAGCAGAATGCGAGCAGGGACAGAGGAGAGCAGAGAGCAGCACTAATGAAGCTGCAAACCCCCACTGCCTCTTGGGTAAACCAGCACAAATTTGTGCACAAAATAAGGCAGAGAAGGAAGAAAAACATCCCCAAACCCTAAGGATTCCCCTTCCAGCAATAAATCATGAAGGACCTAGGGCTGCTCTTTCCCCCCCAGCCTGGAGCACAGGCAGCCCTTCCCCTGCCGGCCCTCACGGAGCGGTGGCCGGGCATTCAGCCGGGGGTGCCCGTCCTGGCGGGGCCCGGCGCCGCCGGCTGCGGCTCGGGCAGGGCAGGGCAGGCAGCCAGCGGATATATTTAGCAGCAGCAGCAACAAAACAGGCAGCGGGATCAGCTGACTGAGGCAGGGAGCTGGCGCATGGGTTAGTGTTAGACAGCACATCTCCCGTGCTGGAAACGGGGAGGAGGGAGCGGGCAGAGCCCTGCAGCCGGGGGAGACGACAGCGCCCGAGCCCCAGGTAAGGGCAGGGGGTCTGGCCAAGGGCTGTGGCCTGGGGGTCGCTGGGATATCCGGGATGCCGGTAGCCGGTGATGCTGGAGAAACGCTGGAAGGGAAGCTGCAGGGCAGCGGGTCCGGCTCCCCGGGGGACCCAGGGCGAGGGGCATCGCCTCCGGCCGGGACCTGAGCCACCCCGGCATGGGAAGAGTTTTACTGCAAATTGGTAATTGAATTTCCTTCCGGGGGAAGGGCGTGTTGGCAGCACTCGGTCACTGATTAGCGCTATCGTGATTTAACACGACATGCCCGTGCCCCTTGCCAGGAGCGCCCGGCCGCTCTCATTGCCGGGCCTGGGCTCCCACCCTGCCGAGCCCACCGGGGGCTGGGAGGGAAAAGCCTTTTCTTTAGGGCTTAAAGACACGAGAGAAACACAGCAGGGAAGGAGAGAGGATAATAAAAAGGCCCTAAGGTTTAAAACAAGCATCTCCTGCTCTCAGGCCAGCAAATCCCAGCTTGGCTGGCTTTCCCAGTAGCGGCTGAGGAAAAGCAGCGAGGGCCAGCAGCAGCCTGGGCAGGGATGGGCACCCAGCGCCCCTGCCCTGGCTCGGCACGAGTTCTGCTCGGTTCTGCTCCCTGTGTCATCTGCAGCTCTGCAGGGAGCTTCAACAAAGCCAGATTTATTTCCAGCAATGGCAAGCAAGGCATTAAAATAGCTAGCAAAGCACTTTTGCGTTTAATCACACAACAAAGCTATATTGTGTCTGCAGATTAGTCACATACAAATTTCACTGGGGGAAGCGGTAAAAAAAAAATAAATAAATTCAGGCTATGTGGTCATCTCTGCCAGAAGGAGAGATAAGCAAAGCACAGGGGGGAGTGTTCGGAGAAAAAAAAAATCAGCGCAGTTAGAAAACACTGCAGCGCAAAATATACTGAAATATTTGTAATTCAATATATTTAACTGAGTAGTGGGAGCAGGTTGATGGAAATCCATCCTAAAGGGAGTTTAGGATGGCTATTTGAATATAAAGGACATGAGTTAAATCCCTTTGACTCTATGTAAGCACTCAGGGGAGGACCTACCTCTCCATAACTACATTTATGCACTACAGATAAAAGTCTCCCTGTACATACTCATCTACAGCTTCTAGAAGAGACCAGTGTAATGTTGCTTTGCTTAGGTAGTGCTCCTCACAGCTCCTCTCCTTTCGGTTCAGCTCCTGCTTGCTTGGACTAAGGGTGAGGTCAGAGCCCTGTCACAGTAACCAGACAGGAGCATTAAATAAGGGGAGTTGTTTGTGCCTTGCTGCTCCCACAAGGGCAGTGAGACATGCTCACACCCCTGCCCCACACCTCTCCAGCTGTGCTCCCTTGCATTGCTTCAGGGGGAGCACCATTGCTGATGTCCTGAGTGACCCTTCTATTTACTGCCACATTTCATGACTTGGTTTCTTTGGTACACTTATGAAACTCTTTACGAAGCCATGGATATAAAAGTACTGGCAGCAAAGTTTTAAAATGCAGTTTTTGTTAACAGCTGTGTTTACCACAAGAAGACATCAGGTGCTCAGGTAGAAACAAGCCCAGCAGCTCTTTACCCCAGCAGGTTTTCACACACTGATCGTGTCTGCTCTGTTCCTTGCAGCCATGGCACCCCGGATCAGACTGAGCCTCTCAAAGCCTCTCCCAACCATTCGGGAAACCCACGAGGAGGCGATGGAGGATCCAAGCAGCAACCCAAAGCGTGCTGGAAGTGCTGCAGCCAGCCCAGACTCGTACTCCAGCGATGACTACATCCAGTCCATCTGCCACCTTGCCAGACCCACCTTCCCAGCCCTTCTGGAAAGCAGACATAAGGGTCAGGACAGAAAGACCCTGAAGACCCTTGAAGATGTGCCAGGTTCTCCACTGCTTGTGGGGACACAGCAGGAAAGGTCAAAATGTAAATTGACCAATTTCATCTCAAATGTGATGCCACTGGGAAAAGTCCCACCTGCAGAAACCGACTTTTGGTCCAGAGAGGACCCTCTGGAGCAAATTTACACCAATGCAGGAAATCTTTACTCCTCCAAGGCTTCCTGCTATGGTGAAAGTGCCAGTGCTGGTTACTCACAGTGCAACTCTTCTGCCCCAAATTGTGACCCTCGTCCCACAGACCTGGAAGAAAAAAACACAGGAAAAACCAGTTTTCCACGAGTGTTCAATTTTCCAAGGCTTCCCTCCCCAAGACCAGTTCAGAAAGAAGCAGTATGCTCAGAGCTGAGGTATCTCAGAAAGGATGAGGGAACAGTTTTAGGGAATAATCACAGTCAGAAAGAAGATGGCCCCATGTTCATTAGCACTGAAGGGCTATTGGCACCCTCAGCTTTCAATACAGCAGGCAGAGATGAAAAAGAAGGAAAAGAAACTTCTCACTGTGACAAAAATGTCATGGGTGATGTTCCCACTAAGCAGAGATACTTCGAGTCTTTCCAGGTACCTAAAAAAGCCACCATCCATAACTGGATTTCAGAGCACAGATGCATCTGGAAAGAAGCAAAGATAAAAGCTTGTTTGCTCCCAGCCATTGCTGAAGTGTGAAGAAGTAGCTGCTTAGAATAATTTTATTCACAAGATATAACCACCCTGTGCTCTAGCAGCTCTCTTTGGAGTCCTCACACAGAAAATATGGCTTGAACATGCATGCGAGTCAGGCAGACTCTTGTGATCCATCATATCCCTCATCCGTGGGCAAAGGGACAATTCAGAGTCTCATCTGCTAAGGAAACAGCAATCAGTTTTCATTTTGGAAAGGCAACAGTTCATAAAGCATCTCCTCCCACCTACTGCCTAGAACTGCCCTGAGCACGAAGCAAAACTGGAGAGAGCTGGAGAGAACACAAATCCCATCTGTGCTGGAGAAGAAGTAGGAACATTGAAATACCAGTGCTTTCCTGCCAGTGCCAAGCAGCCAGATGTTGCTGACCCTTGGGTACAGTTAGTCAAAAAGAAACCCTTTGCCCAAGGCTCAGATGAAATGCACTCTCTGACACATCTACTGGGAGACCCATCATAGATCCCTGCCTCTGCACCAGGATCCCACTGGAGAGGTCATCCATTAGAGCAGTAGCATAAAGAAATATTTCTTAAAAATCATAGGGAGTCTTTTCTGAGGATTTGCTGGAGGGCAATGTTGAGAATATTACAACTCCTTGGGTGGGGATTTTCCTGGTGCTTACCCTGGCACAACTCTGTTCCCTTTACTCCTGGACTCACCCTGGCAGGGGGAGAGCTGGGAGCCCTGGAGAGCATTGCTGTGGCAGTGCTGTGGCTGTGGTGGAGCCAGCTGTAAAGAAACAGGCATCACACAGGGCTCTGCACTGACAGCCAGGCTGCACACCTCGGGCACCCACGGGATTTGCTGCTCAGGTGCAGCCCTTGGGCACACAGAGAGCTCTGCAGGGTCAGAAGAGCAGCCTTGGCTGAGGGGCAGCCTAGGGATGCTGGGCTGGTACTCATAGAACCTCAGTGTAAAATAATAACTTGTGTTTCCCTTCATACCTGTGCTTCTGTATTCTCACCTACCTGACCATGCTGATGATGTTGACTGAGCTTTGCTTTGTGCTGCAAGACTGAAACATGAAAAAAACAAATATGTGTGTTCCAACCATCCAGCACACAGCATACACAAACAATTCATGTTGATGGCATTGCTACATGGGATGTCTGTAGCATGAGAAGCATTCCCACAAGGCTGGGAGGTCCTGGCATGGGGTAGTGGACACATGCCCAGGCCACCCCTCGCTGCCACACAGAGACTTCTCCATCAGAGAAGCTGCCACTGGCACTTTCTCCTGCAGTCAGAGCAGCCTCACCCACCTGTGTCTAGTGCCACACTCTCTGTAGCCAGTCAGGAGGTGTAGCTGAGAAAACTGCAAAGCAATACCAGCCTAATTATTACTGCTACTAGGAGTAAATGTTTTGGCACAGCGGAGAGCAGAGGGACCAGGCTGTTTGCTCAACAGCAGCTAAGATGAGAAAGAGCATTGGAAAGCTGCAATTATAAAAATGCTCACAAGTTATTTCCAAACCACCCTCAAGCAGATTAAATAAAAAAGCAACTTCTGCTCAGTACCAACGTAAGTGTAAATATGCTCAAGGATCAAAAGGTGAGAGTGAGCTTCTCATCCTCACAACTCTTACCTCAAATATTTTTTTCTCCCGTTGAAACTCATTAGTGCTATGGAGCTGAGCTGCTTCTCAGCTCTGTTTTTGAACTAACCACACAGCAAGAACAGAAGTGAAGGTGGCTCCAGCATTCATTAAAGCTGATGGAGAAAGTTGAACAACCCAGGAGGTCCCAGCCTGCTCTGCCTCCTCCACACCTATCCCTCCCTTCTCAGGTAAATGCTGGGGTTTAAGTGATGCTTGTCCTCACTGCTCTGCTGTCATTTAAAGTTCTCTCCATGTGAATATTTATGACTCTAATGCCTAACAAGTCTTGTGCCAACTGCATGTATCACTGCTTTTGACAGAGGAAACAAATAAAATCCTTCTATCCAGTTGTTGTTTCCATTCTGCATAATTCCACAGGGGATTATTTTCACTGCTGGGCTGATCCACAGCACATGGGCTGTGACTTGCCGTGCAAACACCTTCTCACTCTACCAGGTCACCAAAGGCCTTCACTCCTCACCCCTTCAGCAGCTGCTGCCCAGAACTCTGATTACTTCTCAGCTGCCACGTAATCCTGCAAGTCTCTACACCCCTGAAACCCATCATCTTTTCTTGCTCAAGCAAAGAGGCAGCAGATGAGAGCTGCATCCCAGGACACGTTGGGAAAAGCCTCCAAGTCCTCTAATGTAGGACTGGGAGCAGGTTGTGGGGGCTGGGGTGATGGCAGGGCTGGGCTCAGAGCTGGGGACATTTAAAAACACAGTGTTAGTTCCAGGATCACTCAGCAGCAGCTGTTATGTGCCCATAGAGCACCAGGAGTTTGGAGTTAGGCACAGCCAGGTTTGGAGCAATGAAGCTTTGGAGTGAACTGGCTCTTTCTGGAAAAAGAATACTTTTTCTTTAGTGAAAACTGAGATTCTACTCAAGCAACTGGGTTTTGCAAGAGGAGACAAAGCTTCTGGGATGCAGCAAGGATGGGGGCAAAGAGACATGGGGGGCAAATTAGGGTCATAGATATGTCGAGGCAGGGAAGGGAGGAGGGAAATGTGGGGCTGGGTGCCAGTGAGTGAGCAGGGCAGCTCCCAGCAGGAGGGGAATGCTGGGTGGCAGGGCCAGGAGCCCTGGGCTGAGGAATTCCAGCTGTGCAGCAGAAGCTGTGACAGGTAGAAAAGAAGTAAGGTAAGAAAAGAAAAGCTGATTTAACACAGAGGCAGAAGATAGGGAGGGTTTTTTTCTTTCAGGGTCACCTTCTTCACCATCAGCTCTGTTGGAATTGACCGTGTTGGTCCTTGTGAAATCACAATTAAATATGCACCAGTTCCTGTGTAAGGCAGTTTTACAGCTGTACAACATCACCCACCTGCTGAACATGTTATTTGGGCTGGTTCAGGGAGGGGATGGGGATTGGCACAGCCTTGTCACTCCCCTGTCACAGCCTCTCTGCCCCCAGCTGCTGGTGGGATAATGTGGCCTGTTTTTATACAGCACTTTTCTCCCTGTTCACCCTATGGATGCACACCTGGGCCATCAGAAAATGCTCCCCCATTTCCCTCTTTGCAGAACAACCCCTGAAGAATCACTGGTCAGGATAAGCCTGCAGAAAGTTGCTGCCTGTTCACAAGTGCTTCTAGACAAGAAAGAAAACCTTATCAAGGAATTTAGGTCACAGAGAGAGATAAAAGCCGTGCTGCTTCCATGGCCAATCTCATGGCAGGCTCTGCATTTGAAGTCACCGGCAGAAAAATCTCATTTATTGAGATCATCAGAACTGCCAGAGGGATTTGGATTAATTTGATTGGGGAATCAGTATCCAAATCCCACCGGCAACTTTCAGTCTCACACTTCACATCCAGTTCACAAGCAAACTGTGAGCTAACATGGCAATTTTGCTTGCATGGTCATGCAGCCTCTTCCTGCTGCAAACGGTAAATGCATTTGGACACAGAAAATCATGACCAGAATTTACAAACCAGAGGTGGTGAGGCAGAAAGAGAGCTGTCCCTCTCTTTCCTCAGACTCTTGTCTTTTAAACAACAAAGATATCCATCAGCTGAAACCGAAGGTGAGGGAGCAACAGCTCCACGAACCTCTCTCTGGTGATCAGACCTGTGAGTGCAGGAGCTGCTCAGAAACTCCTGCAGCACAGGGAGCCTCAGGAGGGGCCTCTCTGTGCCCACACTGACAGCCAGCAAGAGAGATGTTGATAAACAAACTAAAATAATGAGCCTTACAGACAGGGATGTGCCACAAATGGGACTCTCTCCAGTCCCAGCCAGGGATTGTAATGCGAGAGACAAGCGGGAGCAGATGGAAGGGCTGCACACAAACAGGGAGATGCTGCAGGGGTATGAGCAGGTTTCTAAAAATCAGTTTCTACAAAGGCCTTTAACACTGAAGGTGAGATCGAAGCAGCTATTTTTGATTTCAGAAAAAAATCCAACTCTTAAAGCTCCAAGGAAAAGGTAAAGCTCCCACCTTTTTAGATCAGACCCAAGCCCGAGGCAAAACCCAGGATGTCTCAGCTGAAAGCAGAAGCTTTGTGGCTGGTGCTCCAGGCTTTTCCCCTGCCCTAAAGTGCCTGCATTTGGGCCTAATTGCTCATTGAGGACTTATTTTAATTAACTTTCAGCTATCCTAAGTGGAGACTAACTTCATTTATCATGGTGCAGAATGAAGTTAAATTGCATTTAGTGTCTAGCAGGAATCCCTTAGCTTTGAATGAAACCTTGACTGAACCATCAGCGACGTGATTAATGGAGATGTGTTTTGTATTTTCCACTTGCGACTGTAACCGTGGGCAGAGGAGAGCTCTGAAATGATGGCTGGAAGCTTTACTGCTTGTGATTGAGCAGCCAGAAGCTTCAGGCACAGCCCTCTGCCTTGCTCACCAGGGCCCACACGTGTTTGTGTGGCTGGTATCACTTATGTGGGCCACAGTTGACAGCAGGGATGACCCTTGAAGTGCCACATCATGGGCTTGTGGCCCATGCTCAGGGATTCTCAAGTATAATTTGCTTGATACGAGCTAGAGCTGATGCAAAATACATGTTGTGTAAATAGAGAGATATTGTTTCTGGTAATTGCAGCTTTCCTGGAATTAATGGTCCTGGAGGCAATGCTTCCTAGGACTGTTGCAAAGAGCTGTAGAAAAGCTGGGCATTTTTAGAATACCAGCTTGTTGCTACATAAAGTTTGACCAAATGCCATTTAAATCAAAGGGAGCCTTTAAGTGCTTTGGAATGGGCTTGTAATGGGAATAATTTTCTGCTGCATTTAAAGCACGGATTCCTAATAGCAGCTGATGAGGAAAATCAAATTATTAGTTTATTTATTTGTGTGTAATAGCAGTGTATCAACTGTTTCTTGTCTTTGCTTTTAAATTAACCCAACTGAAAGCCCATCAGCCTGCTGTGAGCTTAGCAAAA